GCACATGCTGGGGCATTGATAGATGTAAATCTGACTGTTGATTAAAATCTTCAACCAATGGCTGTCGAGTACAAATTAAAGAAATACTTCACAGTCTTCACCCCTCATCTATTTTTTCCCCCCAGAGTAGGTCACTGTATATTAAGTACTAACCTCCTTTGCCATCCATGTAGGGTCATCCTTGGGATTATAGTCAGCTGCATCAGGTTGATAGATTGCAGTCAACCTCTTTTTGTCTTCACGTTTCTCATTTACAAAACTGTTGGCTGTTAAGATACACATATTAGTCTATGCATATTAAAAACATCAACTTTGTTAAATCAGGCTTACCATGTATTTGATGGCATGGAATTGCTAACAAGGAAAACAGCAACAATCTAGACAAGAGATAAATTCCATGTCTGCTTTAATAATGCCAGCTACAACAATTGAGCTAATCAAAAGTTTTAAGTTTACCTCAGGAATGTTCTCATAATGTCACTTAAGTGGAAAGCAGATTTAGCTTCAATTGATTATATTATCTTTATCAAGTGCTGTCAAACCACTAGCACTAGCCAGAAAATATTTTGTGAACTGAAGACATTTTATAAGATTTTGTTTCCTACCTCATTAATCAAGGGGATACAGGTGTGATAGATTGGAAGCAGATGTGCTTTGTTACCCTACATGGACACATCAGAGGATTTGGTTGCAGGAATTTCAAGAAGTTACCAAAACTAATAGCTATTTCGTTTGTACGTTGATTAAACCATCTCCATTTTTCAGATATCTTTCTACAGTCCGAGAGCATCCATGAAGTTTTACCATGTTTATACAGTAATGAAGTTCTGTCTTACAGATTTACCACCCATTGTATTGCTAGGATTAAAAGCTATGGATACAGTGATATATTACTTGAACTGGAAAACATGCCATAGTTTATTCTGTACATTTCTAAGCTGTGTGTCAAAATGGTGCCATTGTTTAAACCGTACAGTTTTCACACTTTGATGTACAATGTGACAAGTTGGTTCTCCAAATTATTGTGAATGCAAACAAATTTAGAACAGTTAAAAAATGGCTTACTACTTCAGTGAATTACATCAACCTTTGTCAAAGCCACCATTATATGTTGAAGTTGTGATTCCACACACTCCCCTTTATTGCATTCTTTAGTAATGTCAGTTTCCTAATGCACACTAAAATTAGATTTTTTAAGAGAGAGCTGCAATGTGTGTGGTGTGGTTTGAGATGTGAGTGGCAGTCAGTTCTTTGACATGAGGGTTTTAAAGCCTAAAGTTGGTATACTGGTAAAGTTATAGCCCAGTCCATTTCTTTCAGACTGTGCTATAATCTCTCCTCCCTAAAAAGTAATCTGTGTACATTTTAAAGGTCAGTTCTCATTACACAAATGGTGAAATATTAAAATTAATCTAAAATTGAAGGTTAGGATTAATCTTTTAGTCACTACCAGGAATTTGAGTGTCACTTTTCAGACCTGAGGCTTAAAAGATTTTTGTAGCATCTTGTTCAAATAAAAATATTCAATACTATCTCAATCATAAGAATGTTGTCAAGTCCAAGCTATCAGAGCAGCAGCAGGTTAATTGGGGCTCAACGTTAGCTGTAAATGTGCTAGAAAGACCAATGCCAAGATGTGATATTTTTATTTTGATACCAACAAGATCCTTTGTGACCTTGTCAAAAGTTGATCTCCCTGAAAGTGAATTGAAGGGTTTAGATGAGAATTTAAAAGCATAAATACAAATTCTGATGTAGGCAACCCACCTACCAGGAACAGCTGAACTAAAAGTGTATAGCTTGTTTCCTCACAGGTGGTTTGTGGGGCACCTTGAACCAGTCACTTGGTTTCTTGGCAGCATAGCGTGGTTTCTGATGGCTCCTTGGTGCATAGCCATGTTGCTGTTGGGGGACCTTGGCCACAGGGGGCTGGTACTCCTGCTGATGGGGGACCTTGGCCACGGGGGGCTGGTACACCTGCTGCTGGGGGAC